TAATAAGTTTTAAAGCTAGTTTTTAATAAGCCTATAAAATGTCTTCTTTCTAGTCTATAAAATTTCTTCATTTTTTTAACTCATGTACTCCAACTTCATTCATTAATACTATGACAATACACAAAACCATCTTCATTCTTAAAATATTTTGCGAACTGTCAACTCTTGTTCTATATTGATAAGTAGGTGTTCCAAAAGAAAAACTTTGAGATCAGTGCGTTTAATCGGGAGTTCACGCCGCCTTCCAAACCGATGTCGCAAAACTTTCCCATTGATGGGGTTTGAACCACGAATCCTTTGTTTCAGAGTTCCAAAAGAAAAACTTTTATTTTACCTTAATGCAAAACTACTCATATTTTTTAAATGTTAAATTCAAATCTCTTACTAAATCGTTTAACCCATCAGGTAATTATTAAATAAATGAATTTTTAAATTTTCTGGAAAGTTATGATTGCGATTGTCAGGTTCATATTTATCCAATTCAATTTCGCTTGACTGTTCACTTTCAATAGTATGTGGTTAGACAAAGACAAAAAGTTCTGGACCATATCTGATCGGTCGAATGGTTAGAAGAAGATAATACATTTCTATTCTTTGAGTTATATCTTTAAGAATAATTTTTTTGTCCTTATTATCCAATTTCAAAATATTTTTTTGAAAATATTTTGAAATTGGATAATATTAAGATTTTTTTATTAATATGAGAACTAAACTTTTTAACCAACTTTCTAATGATTTTTTTTCATTTACAAATTTACCTCGTATATTACAAAAATTGTAAAAAAGTATGGAGTATGAAACGCCTAAAGTATGGAGCGCCTGTTTAGTTAAATAGGCAAAACTGAGATTTTAGAAAAAGACTGAAATCTGGTTAATGACAAAAAATTTAATCACAATATTCTTAGATTTTGCTAAGGCCTTTGACGTAATGCTTGCTTATTATTAAGTTAACAATATAATTTAAAAAACTTTAAATTAAAAAGTTGTCAATCTGCTGCTATGCCGTTAGTAAAGATAAAGCTTTGATCGCAAGTTCAATTAAGTTCAGGAAATATGCCATTTGGAAAGTTGTATAGTCAATTTGATAAAAAAAATCTAACCCAAGCGCTTCGGAGGAATTGAATCCCACAGGTTACCAATCTTTTGTTATTCTGTAAGTATAATTTAAATAAAGTATTAGAAAACCAATATTTTTATTACTATGAAACTTTGCAGCATACTATTTGATCATTTCAGTTTAAAGTTATTGAAAATGTTTTCTTGAATTTAAAAAAAACTTTTATAAAAAATAAAAATAATGCATAATATTATTAAAGTATATAGTAGATCAGGAAAAACCGAGCATTATTCAAATAAGGTTTAATAAAACCAAAAATTTGCAGGTAACATGTATGGGTCATATAAACAACGTCTTTTGTATTTTAATTAGAAATCTCAATGTTTGGCGCAAAATGTGTTTTGGACTAATCAAGCCTCTTTGTCTAATGTTCATAAAATCATTCTTGAAATACACATTACTGGGAGCATTAGATACAGACGCTATGACATTAAATTTTAAAACTTTCTTCTTATTTAAAAGACTGATGATTTAACATAATTTTTCATTTATCGCTTTTTCAAGTTTGGTAGACTCTAAGTTGTTTATATTGGTTAAAACTTAACATCGCTCATATCAACCCAAGAGTGTTGAAAATCAAATAATAATATTAAAGAATATTAAAAAAAATTGTAAATAAATAATTAGTTGCAAAAGCACTTAATAACTTTTTTGTTAATGTAGAATCAAACTTAGCATATAAAATGGGATCACCTCAGAAAAACTTTCATTCATACTCTACGCCTAATTAAACTGTTATGTCAAATCATGAACAGAAGTTATTAAATTTAGTCCCTTTACTAAAACCTAATAAAAATTCAGGTGTTGATGATGCTAGTAGTAATGTCATTATTAAATCAATAAGTTATTTAAAAGTACCACTTTTACATATTTTTATCTATAAAACATGGAGTTTTTCCTGAAATCTTAAAAATTGCAAAAGATTTAAAACAAGTGATCCTTCTGATGTTTTGAATTACAGACCAATCTCAGCTCTCACTTGTTTTTTCAAGATTTTGGAGCGTGTTATGTATAATAGACTTTATTCTTTTTTAAATACCAATATTGTTCTTTACAATGAACAATTTGGGTTTAAATCTAAAATACTTAAAGCCTTTGATGAGAAAAAATTTACCTTAGGTGTTTTTGTTGATCTAAGTAAATCTTTTGACACGATTATAATATTTTTCTATATAAACTTAAAAATTATGGTATTAAAATTTTTAACTTAGTTTGGCTTAGAAGTTATTTAATAAATAGGAAACAGTTCATCTCATTTAATGATGGAAAAATGGATTTAGCGTAAGTTACCTGCGGCGTCCCGCTAGGATCAATCCAATCCAATCCTCTCTTATTTCTCATTAAATGAAAAACAAGAGAGGCCCTAAATTTTACTTAAGTCAATTAAATGATTTAAGTTAATTTTTCAAATATCAAACCTATTTGCAGACAAGGTTAACTTATTTTATTCAAATAAAGAAATCAACATTTCATTTGAAACAGTAAACAAGGAGTTTGTAAAACTAAATGAATGGTTTATAGCATGTTTATAGCTTATTTCATGTTTTTAAAGATCTATTTACCTTTAAAGTAAAGAATAAATATAGTTTGCGAAATAATAACTATTTAAAAGAATCCTTTTGTGAAACAAAGTTTAATCAATTTTGTATAGATTATCGAGCACCTTATATCTGGAATAAAATTGTACAGCCTAAATTAAATTCATCTTTTTTTCTGTTTTTAAAAACAAGTTAAAGAATATTATTTTTTCTACGGATAATATATTGAAATATTTTTGAGATATTATTTTAAACATTTCTTATTTCAAATGTTTTGGATTCTTATTTTGTTATAAACTACCTGTATTATACTATATTATATTTATATTGTAATTTTTATTTGGTTCTGGCGACAAGATCGATACGATCTTGTTCCAGATTCCAAGTTTATATGTTTATATTACATGGAAATCACGACATGTAAATAATGTAAACTGAAAAAAAAAAAAAAAATAGCGAATAAAGGGACTTGGCGATAAGACCAAATTTGTCTTCTTCTTGCCACAGCCACATATTTATAAATTTGTATTGTTTAAATTTTTAAACTTTTTTTTTCTTTTAATTGGCTAAATACATAACAATTAAAAAATAATTAAAATATTTCTTATAAATGTATTAATTTCTTAATCTGATTGTGTATTTTATTGAACTTCTTAATGGGGCTGTTTGACCATTGCTTACAACATTTTTAATGATTTAAATATTCGGATGATTGATAAAACTAAGATACAAAGATCATGGCAAACTTTATTAAGGACAAATATCACACCACTCAAAGTATTGTTACTAGAACGTCCAACCATACCTTTATCCAATAATACTTTATCCTTTATCCAATATACTTTTTTTTTCAGTGTGTTTCGTTTTTTGCCCAGTGAAAATTATTCCGTTAAATTATAATTGTATAGAAGAAGTTTCACATTTTTACTTTTTGGAAAGCTTATAAAATTTTTTAGATCAATCCTTATTATGGCTGTGGTGGGAAAGCTTAGCTTTCAATTCTACTTCTCTTTGCTTTTATTTCGTTCTTTGATGCAACTTTTTGTCTAAGCTTCAAGATGACTTTAAAAAAGCTAAATATTGAAAAAACGCTGAACAAGATAGTAAAAGCTATTAGACTTCTCAAAAAAATGGAACAAGCAGTCTCGACAGTAATCAAGAGCACAACTATGGAAAGGATTAACAAAGTGGATAAATGCTTCGAGAGGTTGAATTTGGTTTGATGTGGTGAATAGACGGTATAGTTCTCTGTTTTAATAAATTTGAAAAAAAAAAATTATACAAATATAATGAGTACTCTGCTGACCAGAAACGAAAAAGAGTAAACAAACATTAAAATGACAAATTGATGTTTATTGAGGCTTCAGATATAACTGAGAGAGTTAAGCAATTGTTGAGATCAATGTCATCATGTATCTATTTTTAGCTAGCTTGAAAAATGAAGGTAAGCATATGCTCTACTTCTCTCTTGTTTTGGTTTCCTAGTCCGTCTTTCACATATGAATAAAAAAAAGGTTTATCTACTTAATAAGTAATTATATAAACTAGATCAAAACAAAGTGGAAACGGGGAGGAAAAGGCTAAAACTGTTATTTTGCTAGGAGACAACGATGAATAAGGATCTGATCCTGATCTTCGAACTAAAGATTAATCACTGAATTGATTAAAGTTGGATAAAAATAATCAAACAATTTCTTTAGCACATGGAAGTACAACTTCTTCAGCCCATGTGTGAAATTTTTTTTCTGCATATAAAACCTTATAAGATATTTCTACTATATTTCGTTGAGTTTTGGTTTGAGTTTCCTTTAAATTACTTTTTTAATCTTTTCTTTAATCTCTTCCATAATCTTCTTCTTCCTTAATCTATTCTTTAGAGCTTCTTTTGTATTTTATAGGGATATTTACAATAATAAACTCAATGAAGATTTTTGTTCTCTTTTTTTCTTAAAACAACAGCAAAAGCGGCTGGAAATATAAAAATTTCAAAAGAACAGCAAAAGCGGCTGGAAATATAAAAATTTCAAAAGAACAGCAAAAGCGGCTGAAAATAAAAAAAATTTTAAAACAGTTTTTCAATTATAATTAATTACAATGGAAATATTTTTTAGTAAAAACTACTGAAGGAGCTCCTGCGATGATGTTTTGTAAGCAGACTAGAGTGAAAAAAAAAATTGCTCCAAATGTAATTTTAATGTGTACATAGACCAACTCTTTACCAGTTGTTTAAAAACTGTATTTAAGCAATTAATTAAATTGGACTTAATAAACGGGAGGGTCGGAATTTTAGAAACCTAAAATAATTCTAAACACACGAAAACACTAAAAGAAAATCATTTAACTCAGAAGAACAACCTGATTTTTTTTTAAATTAAAAAAAATCTAAAAAATGTAAAAGTTTTAAATTTTTCTCAGCAAATCCTTAAACTGGTTTGGGCTTTTCAATTTCAACAATTTCGCTCTGAATTTCTTTTTGCAGTGGTTTCTGGTAGTTTATTCCATTCTATTGCGTAAAACTCAAAACGAGATAAAGATTTCGGTTTATAACTGTTAGAAGCGTCCGTATAACTGTGATAAACAAACAAGGAGAAAATCGCTTAGTGGATAGGAATTTTTGAAATAAAGTTTACATAAAAGTAATATTAAAAATAAAAAACTATCAACTAATTAGCTATTTATTTACATAAAAAAGTTGTACAAATACTTTTATAACATAAAAGTATTTGTAAAAGTATGATTCACTGAATTATTCTGAATATATTCAGTCTGAATTTCAGACAGATATAAATTATTATTGAACTATCTTTGTAAATCGCTCAGTGTAAAATAGTATGATCAAAAGTATTTAATATTAGAAATTTTACCACTTTAAACTAATCAAAAATTAGATGATATTCGTATAATTTCTATTTTAAATAAAAATTTAAATAAATATTCTAGTTTAAAAATTATATGAATATCAACTAATTATTGATTAGTTTCTAGTGGTAAAATTTCAATTATTTAATACCTTTGATCATATCTTACACTGAGCAGCTTATTATATTATAATTATGTAAAAGTAGTTTAAAAATACCTGTCTAAATTATCACCTCCCCTCAAGTAAATCACTAAACTTTTGTCTAAACTACCATCTTCCTCCTATTTAATCATTAAATAAAAGATGATAATGGTGTCAAGTAATGTGATAAAAAGTATACAACTAAAAATTATTAGTTATATATAGTATATAACTAATAGTTTATAGTTGTTTTTAGTTAAATATACTATATTTAATTGAAAAAACTTTATAAATACTTTAATAAGTTTCTGAATTATTACCTCCTCTTAGTAAATCACTCAATGTAAGATGGCGTGATAATATATGAAATTTGTAAACAACTTTTAAATGACCGTTATCTTCACTAAATAAACATAGAAAAAAAAAAGTTATAATTAAAAATTAGTTTCAGTTTGATGTTTTAAACATTGGAATGAAATAATCTATTCTAAAGTAGATTATTCCATCCGCTTGATTTATTCCATCCCACTGCGTAAAAAATGGAACTTTTTTCTAACTATGTTCGGTCATTTCTAACGGCTATATTTTAAAAATTCATTCTCGTTTTGAGTTTTACGCAGTTAGATGGAATAAATCAGGCGGATGGAATCAACTACCACTGGTCACAGTGACCAATAAAAACTTACATTATTAAAGTTTTAAATGACATCTTTAAAGAGATAATAGGAGAATGTGCATGAAAAAGCCAGGCTTTGAAAGAGCTGATGCCATTATTTCTAACTACTGGCATCCGACCATAATTGTATTTTACTCTTTGTGTGGCAACACTGGATACCTGTCACCCACAAAAAATTTACAGCTCTACCAAAATAAGTAGCGTCGTAAGAGTGCACTAAAAATTTTGGTTTCAAAATTCATCGGCTCTTTCAAAGCCTGGCTCTTTCATACACACTCTCCCCCTACTAGATATATTAATTTACTTAGTATAGATAGAAGCGTATCTATACTACTAAATCATTTGCTAATAAAAATTTTAAGTATTTTTTAAAATAATATTTTATATAATTTAACGTTGTTAAAATTAAAATTTTATCATTTTATCATTAGAGCCTTGCTCATTCATACACTCTCCCCCTACTAGATATATTAATTTATTGAGTATAGATAGGTTATAAACTTTTATTTTATCATTTGGTTATAAAGTTTTATCAGCAGGTTATAAACTTTCTTTGGGTAATAAATTTCTTACCTTATGCGTCTTTTATTAATTCAAGTAAACGGTAGCTATTTATTAATTTGTTTGTTTATTTTTTTGTGTTTTTGTGTTGTTTTTTTTATTATTTATTTAATTTGCCGTTGATAAATATTACAAAAAAGAAATTACAATAAAAGAAAATCCTGGCCGGAGCAAAAGAAGACAGGTTGTCTTATCACCGAGCCCCGTCACACAAAAATTTACATGCACAATAAATGATAAAAGACAAAAAGACAGTATAAATACAAAAACAAAAACAAATCAAAAACTTCAGCAATAAAATAATTTGTTGCTAACAATCTTCAAGCAGAATAATTTTAAAAATAAAAAAGTAAAAATGACAAAAAGTCATGAAAGTTATAAAAACACACAAAAAAAAAAAAAAAAAAAAAGCAATATATGTAAACATAAGTATTTGGGCTGATTATTTAATATCATCAAAAATATGAACAAAAAAGACAATTTTATTTTCGTTATCTTTTATACTAATGGTTTGAAACCATTTTAATAAAAGCTAAAGAAAGTGTAAAAGATTTAATTTATTTTTAAGTGATTTAGTTTAAACCTTTAAATTGTTTTCAAAAAAGGTATTTGAAATCTAGTATATCGAATTCCATGTTCAGTAAATGCCGTTTTGAATCATCCTTAAAACTTTGCAAAGTGCAGTTTAAAACGAAGTTTTGTTTTTTACTAAAGATTGGAAGAAATTCTTTCCAAACTAAAGGCCCCCAATATTGAATTTGGTACGAACTTAATTTAAGAAAGTTTATGGGAACCACAAAGTTATTCACTGAAAGTTTGGTTGGATATTTATGGGAGATTTCATTAAAGTAGGATTGAAATGTTACTGGAGAAAACCCAAGTTTTGCTTTAAACATAAATATCATTACTTGATGAATATTAAGCTTATAAATATTTAAAGCTCTAAGCTGACGTAAGAGAGGTTCGCATTGTGTTTTTCTATTTGCCCAAAATACTATCCTGCAAGCATGTTTTTGTTTACTATAAATTTTTTTGAGTTTAGTGTGATTAGTGCTACCCCAGGAAATGTTACAGTATGAAAGATAGCTGTGTATAAACGAAAAATATAAATTTTTGAAAGACTCGTTATTAAGAAAAGGTTTCGTTCGGTATAACATGGCAATATTTTTTGAGATCTTACCTTCAATATATTTAATATGAAATTTCCATGACAATTTTTCATCTAAGAGCACTCCCAGAAAGTTTTTAGTCAATTTCATTTTAATTATTTTATTATTGATTAAAAGATTGGGTAGTTTAAGAGGAATATTCTCGGCTTTACTAGGTTTATGGAATAGGATAAATTTTGTTTTCTCTACATTTAATGATAGTCGGTTACTTATAAACCACTCGTTGATCTTGTCTAATTCTTCGTTAAATATTTTAAAAAGAACAGTAATATCTTTGTGAGAATAAAACAAAGTAGTGTCATCTGCAAATAAGATATTATTTAATACTTTTGATGATAAATATAAATCATTTATATAAAGTAAGAACAATAATGGTCCCAAAATAGAACCTTGGGGTACTCCACAAGTTATTAAGTTGTTTTTTGAGTCTTTTGATTCTTTAAGTATAAATTGCTTTCTGTTAGTTAGGTATGATTTAAACCAAAGTAAGCTTTGATTTTTAACACCATAATTTTCTAATTTTTTCAAAAGAATTTCATGATTTACTGTGTCGAAAGCTTTGGATAAATCAATAAAAACCCCTATTGTATAGCAATCACTATTAAATCCATTTGATATATGCTTAACTAATTCAACTATTGCATGGTCAGTAGAATGATTTTTTTTAAACCGTATTGATTATTATATAAAATTTTATTTTCAGATAGATATTTATAAAGTCTGTTGTACATAATGCGTTCAATTAGTTTAGAAAAGCAGGGTAAGACTGAGATTGGTCTGTAGTTTGAAATATTGGTCTCATCGCCAGATTTGAAAATAGGTGTTATTTTTGCAATTTTTAGTTTATCTGGAATATGACCTGATTTAAAGGAGAGATTAAAAATATGGAATAATGATACAATGTTTTGTATATGCTTCTTACTTTATTAAATAAAGTAAGAAGCATATACAATATGTACATATTGTATATGCTTCTTACTTTATTTAATAAAGTAAGAAGCTTTTTTTTTTTAAAAGCAAGCTTTATTTAATAAAGTAAAACAAATATATATACATATATTTATGTTGTTATATATATATATATATATATATATATATATATATATATATATATATATATATATATATATATATATATATATATAAGTAAAACACATTTTAAATTGTTTAAATATATATATATATATATATATATATATATATATATATATATATATATATATATATATATATATATATATATATATAAGTAAAACACATTTTAAATTGTTTAAATATATATATATATATATATATATATATATATATATATATATATATATATATATATATATATATATATATATATATATATATATATATATATATATATATATATTGTTACTTTGGTTTTATAAAAATTTATGTTATGATTTTAAATTTAGTTTTGTTAAGAAGTTATTTAATAAATTATTAGGATATAAATTTCTCGAGTTTTGACAAGAACCCCAAACGTTTGGGCTGCTTGTGTCCAGAGGCAATTTTACGGGTGTGTATGCTAGGGTTACACTACTCGAAGAAAGTGGTTTGCAAGTTATAGTCGGGTTTTTCACGTATTTAGTCGGCTAGTAGGGTATTGACACAATTCAGTCGGTTAAATTTTTGCTTTAAGGACCTTCTTTTTTTTTAGAAGCCAGTCGATACATTTTAAGGATTCACCCTCCCCCCCCTCTCATTTTGTTTGTAAAATCGCCTCTGCCTGTTTCTGCCAATTTTCTGTAACTGTCCCATTGTTTCATCAATAGGACAGTTACAGAAAATTGAAACAGATTGGCTTGTCAATAACTTTTGAGGAAAACTTGTATGTTAATAAAAGTGCAAACTAAGTTAGCGAATTATGTTTCGTTCAACTATTCTAGTTACTTTAAATTTGATACAAGTTTTTTAAAAGTGTTTTTTATTTCTTACTTACTTAGATACGTTTTTTGGGTTAGTTTTGCAGAACAACTGTTGTTGAATTAACAAGAAATATCATGAAGCGGTAGATGGCAAACAAATTACTATCGTTTGTAAATGGAAAGAAAAAGGAGGAAATATGCTTTATATATGGCAATAACTGTGTCAAGTTATAAATAGTGAGTTTTTGCGTTAACTAACTTTTATAATTTTATAATATATTTAGTCTTACTCTTGATGTATATCGTTAATAATTTTAGTAAATTTTTAAAATTTATTAAAAATAAATTCGGTATTTAGTATAAAATGAAAGTAAATCACTTTATAGTTAACACTTATAATAGGAGAGACTGGGGCAAGATGACTACGTTAACAATTTAAGTTGTTTATTACTTTATTTTTATAGATATTAAAATTAATTTTATATGAACTGTTAGATTAACCATTTGTAGCATTTTATATATTACGATTTAATTATTTAAATGAAAGAAATAAAGGATAATTTCATTTTTCCACAACCATATCAAATTTTCATCTTGCCCCGGTACTGGGGCAAGATGACAACACTAAAATTTTTTTCTATCATATTACATTATTTAACAAATGATAAGTTTTTTTTCTATTATGTTACATTAATTAATAAATTGTAACTAAACCTTTTGAAATTGATGCGACTGGACTATTTGACCTGGTCTATCTTTATCTCGCTCATTTTCGGTTGTTCAAAGCAAGGAAGAAAATGGCAACCTCGTCATCTTTTCCCCGTCCTCTTACCCCGAACTGGCTATTTTCAAATATTCATTTTTATTGCCATGAAGGAAGGCAATTAAATGACTTTTATTCATGGTAATAGATAGTATTAGAGTTAATTAAGTTCAAAATATGAACGATAGACAAAATATCTAACCTGTTTCAGCAGCAGAGTTTATTTACGCATGCATAAAAATTATAACGTGTCAGCAGTAAACAATCAAAACTTCACAACTAATATATAAATGGCGATTTCAGCGCCTTTATACTATTTTATAAAAAACAGCCTGTAAGAGAGTTAGTAGTGTCCGATTAGTGTTGCCACCTAGTGAAAAACTGAAGATTAATGACATTTATCTTGACCCGCTCTTCATCTTGCCTCGGTCTTCCCTACATAATTGATTTTACTTTAATGCTGTTCGGTACTTTATTTTACTGTTCGGCGTAATCCTTCTCAGGTTATTTGTGCCATTAAACCTTGGCTTCGCTTTGCAAAAGATCGCGATGGAAGGAGGAAAAGAAAAGTTGATAAATAATCTTTAGATCATTAATGATCTAGAAAAGATCTATAAATAAAGATTTTTATTTATAATGTCATTTTTTTTTGTGTGATTTAATGTAAATATATATAACTTTTAAATCAGTTAATTTCCGATAACTCGAACCTTTAAGGAACTTAAGACTTAAGCGAATTCCGGTTATGTCGAACTTTGACTAATATGAGATATTAGTTCGAGTTAAGGCAATTTTTTATTATTCAATGCTAAAGTATATACATCAAATTTACACCATTATACTTATGTTTCCATAGCTGGCTTTAAAAAGGAAGAGTGGGGGCGTAGGTTGGGGGGAAGGAGGGATGGGGATTTTAAGTTCATTTAGTTGGCAAATTTAACCTTATTTAGACAAGTCAGTCGAAAAATGTAGTTTTTTTTGAAAGGCAAAATAATGTAAAGACAGTATATTCAAAAGATAACATTCGAAAAAGTTTAACGACTCAATAACTATCTTAATGTTTGGTAATAAAATTCCAACAAAAAAGTTATTTTTCATTTTTACTTTTATTGGATCTAAAAGGTGGTCTTTTATTTTTCATTTTTACTTTTATTGCATCTAAAAAGTGGTCTTTTATTTTTCATTTTTACTTTTATTGCATTTAAAAAGTGGTCTTTTTTTTTCATTTTTGTTTTTATTGCATCTAAAAAGTGGTCTTTTATTTAGAAATTCAGTAAATTAAAAGAATTTTTTTTTACGGTTTTATAATAATTCATCTTTTAGTAATTTTATTATACAGTTTTAGCAATTTTATTATACATTTTATTATACTGTTATTATACTGTACATTATTTTACGTCTGATAACGATCTATTTTATTTAAACCTAAATTCAATGAAAAAATAAAGAAGTTATTGGGCCACAGTTATTTATATTTTATATGGAATGACTTCTTGGTAGAAAAAAGTCTTAATTTTAATACAAGAAGTTCGAGTTATTGAAAGAAATTTGCTAAAAGGGAACGAAAAAACGGTTCGACGTAAAAATGTTCGAGTTATCCAAGGTTCGACTTAAGCAGAGAATTTTAATATTAATTGGTGAGACTTTTTCAAAGGACCGTATGAAATAATTCGAGTTAACCAATGTTCGACTGTCCGAGAATTAACTGTATTAGTAAAAAATCTTCTTAGTTTTCTTATTTTATGTAACTTGTGTTTGCAAACAAGTTATATAAAAATGACATGATAACATTAAATGTATATATTTGTGTATTGTAATTTAAATAATAATGTTTTAAATAGTAATATTTTATTTTAAACCCTCAAATTTATCTGATCTATATTTACTCAAAATATTTATAACACTACAATAATATCAAAACTGGGCAACAAAGTTCAAATGTCAACCGTAACACTTATTTTGATCGACATAGCTCCAATCATCTGCCAAATCGTCTAATAATATACAGGCACTCATAAGCCATTGCAACGCCAACCATGTTGCTTCATTGGGCTAATGTAATTTTTACAGTTTAATGCTAATTGTGTGCCAGTGCAGCGTCAACTAGTAAATCTTATATGATACCTACGTTGGGTTGATGAGCAATTGCAACGTTGGTTTAATAAGAAGAAACGCCTAAAACTCTATACCAATGGTGCTCCAATGTAAGATCAATCTGGTTTAATTAAAATGTGTTGTACAAACGCCTTTCGAACTGTAGCGCTTGATTTGGCCAATGTTATACCTAAAATTAAATCCCAAGAATATGCCAACGCATTGGCAATAACGTTGAGTATATACAATGCCAAAGTAAGCTGAAAGAGCAGCCGATCATATGCTAATATGAAGCTAGCCGCAGCATTTTTTTACGCCAACCTAGTACCTACAACCAACGATGCACCGATGTAAGGTCAACCCGTTATAAAATGAGTAAACAAACGCTATGCCAACTATAGCACTTGATTTTGCTAACGTTACACTTACAATTTAAAACCAAATGCGGGCCAACTTATTATCAACAACGCCAAGTATATATGACGCCAACGTAGGCACAATGGGCAGCCGATCATATTCCAACACAACGCCAACTTACGGCCTACTAAAACGCTTCGTTGGATCAAAAATCACAACTGCGCTAGGTTTACATAAGACCTATTAGGTTAGGCTGCTCGGGAATTTGAGCCTACGGCTTTTTTTGTTTGTTTTTTTTCCTAAGGTAGTCAACTTTATTTTCATTTGCTTTACATTTTCAGTATTTAATGTATAATATTCGAACCAATTTCAAAAGTTACCGCAAGCGGTTTGTAAACCGAGGCAATTTAGTAATTTTAGTTTTGAATTTTAGTTTAACCATAGGGAAGTTAGTGTTGTCAAAGTTTTAAAAAAGGATTGTAAGCTATGTTTGTATCATTAGAATAGTTAACAAAGCTCCAATCAATTAGAGTTAGTTGCTCTTTAAAAAATTCAAGGTATTCATTTGAAAAAAATACGCTTTTTAAAAATTATTTTTTTATCCATTCTTATAAAAAAAAAAAAAAAAAAATATTCAAATATGTCATTTTTATTTACGATCTTTTTAAAGGATTTGTTTAAAACATCAGTTGTTATTATACTATCAATTAAAGAGACACTTCATTAAGTAATTTTTGTTGATTTGCTAATCGAGGAACCGCACCATATTCGAATATCCCGTTATAAAACTTTTTAATGTTGTTCTTGACGGGGTATAGAAAACAATCTAAACTCAAATCGCTTTATGTAAGGAAAATTCAAATCATCTTTAATAAAATAAATGTAACTACTTATATATAAGTAGATGAACTTATTTTCGTGGCTAATTTTTTTTAATAACATCATTGCATAAAAATGAATCAACATAGTTAATTTCTCCTGAAGGTGGGCGATAACAACAAACTGTATTTTTTAATTTCTCCTGAAAGTGGAGAAGGTGGGCGATTACAACAACCTAAAGTTTTTAATTTCTCCTAAAGGTGGAGAAGGGGGGCGATAACAACACCTTAAAAAATTATTTTAACTACTATATGCTAAAACTTAACATTAAAAAAATGTAACTGCAAATTATAAATGATAAATAAACATAAGTAATAAAAAAAAAATTTAAAAAATTTAGTATATAAAAATAAGTTTACAAACTGATAGAAAAACTATGAGCATACGTTTTATTATTGAATGTTTTTTACAACATTGTTTCTTATTCATTTATTGTTTATTTATTCATTCATTTATTACAGATAAATGTCATATATTAAGTATATTATAACAAATCTATTGTACTAATAGATAATATTTTATGATCACTGAAAATAGAGTATTATATATTTGTTGTTTTTAGCAATCTAGACTCAATCTCGCTCGTTTTAAAGCTAATCGCCTTTTGCAATCTATACTTAATCTTGCACATCCTAAAGCAATTGAATTGAGTTGCAAGTCTTAATGAATTGGTTTAGGTTTGAATTGTACATTCTAATTTAATTAGATTGGACTTGAAATGCACCAAATAATGCAGCTAAAACAAGCTTAGGCTTAATCTTGAATATCCTTTAGCTATAAATTTATATTACTGTTTAGCTTTAAGGAAACTAATGGTCATTCATATATAGATACATGATCAATCAAAAGTGTAAGTTTTTGGAGTTTATTTATCGGGATGCTGAACGTTATTTTTATTCTAAGTATGATGATACTTGTCAAACACAACGTTTATAATGTTTTTGATTTCAACATATGCATTGCCAACAGAACCTAGTAATGCAATTATAATTATTATAACAAAAAGAATCTCGTTCCATAGCGGTAGTTTTCCATGAATTCGGGCATAAAACACTACTGGTAATATAATTCCAAGTAAAGCTGCAAAAGATCCGCCTACAAATGACAAAACAGGTCCAAATGCGGGCACTACTACTGCTGTTGTCAAAATAGCGAACATCCAGAGTGTTCGGCTTAAAACACGTTGCCAGCAAAATGCTGTAAGAACAAATTTAAAACAATTCTAAAACCTAAAATAAAAAGTTGAATAAAAGTAATTAAATATTAAACTAAAAAGCATACTGGTTGGTATCCCTATAATTCCTTCAAATTGTTGATAAATAGGATTTATGTTCAAAACAAACGCACATAATACGTGACCGCATATGCAAGCCTGGGCAGCCATACAAAATGTCCTGAATAAATGTCTTGTATAAAATAAATCTAAATAAGTGAACGTTGTAAGAAGGTCTTCTTTAATTAAATCCCCGAGAACTATATATGCAGCTAGAGGAGTCCCAATGTATATAAAAGAGATTATTGTATAGCCAATTGTAATAGAATATACAAAGTTTTCTGGTTTTTTCATATCGTTTTGGATTGTTGGAAATATAGAAACTCCTCCAAAACCAAACAATACGGTACCAAAAGAATGAAGAAACCCGTCACCTGATATTTTTATATTTTTATCGTTTTCCACAGGAAAACCAGAAATATAACCTAACATAAGACATATAAGTAGTACAGCGATACCGCTTGTAACCATAGCAAGAAAGCCAATACCCTGGAAATCTTTAGGTGTACCTAGAAACGTAAACGGAAGCAAAAACAAACCGCATGAACAAAACCAAATGCGTAATTGTGATCGGTACGACATATGATCCCAAGGCGAAGAAGGAAATAATTCCAACAGAATCTCCCCTGCTAATAGAATAAAAACAATGCAGGTTAAAACTTGATTAATAGCAAGCGAGACTGTGGTAATACCTTTACCAACATTTCCACTAGCTTCGTAACCCAAGCGAGGATATGGATCTCTAAGTTGAGTGCGATCAATGTTTTTCATAATTTTTGAACAAGACTTAGCTAAAAGGATACCGCAGTAGCACATAAGTGCTGAACAGAGCATAAACATCGGTATGCCATAATATCCTACTAACTTTAATGCATATGGTAAAGCAACAACACCTGCACCGACTACATCTCCAACAACAAAAAATGTAGACGTTACTGTTGACAGTCCTTCCTTTGAGTGTCCAGAGGCATGGTTTTCCTTGTCCTCTTCGTAATTAAGAGCATCGTATTTATCACAAACCTCTTTACCATGTTCTAAATGATATGAGAAATAAGTATTTATTTTTGGCATTTGTTACAAATCTCTTTATCATATTCTAAAAGATATAAAAAATAATGTAAATAATTATATTATAGTAAGTAATTATATGAAATTAATTTTATGATTTGGATTTACAGGTTGTTATTATTATTTATTTCACCATAACAAAAAAACTTATAAAATTAGTTATTATAAAGTGTAAATACACGGTTGTGGCAAGAAGAAGAAAGATTCAGTCTTATCACCAAAATAATGTGACATTAAATTTTTTAATAAGGTAAAATTTGTTAAATAAAAATAAAATTTGGTTACCTTTTTCACTATCCATCTTTATATTTAGTGCTCATACCTTTTTTATTGTAGGATATTCCTTGCTTTTTTAATGCGGTCAGCAGTTGGTACGCTTTCAACAATACGCGCCAACTTCCAACCTCACGCTTCATTACTTTTCGTAAATACCAATGAATAATTAATAAGAAGTAAAAACAAATTTAATGCCTATCTTCTTTAATAAAGTTTTTCTTTTTCTATTTTTTAAATATATAAGATCAGATATACTTCACCTTATAAATACTTGTATTATTATTGGATTGTTAAAAAAATTCTTTTTGGTTTAGCCAATCTAATAGTTAACATCTATAAAACCTAATTATTTGCGTACATATCTATAAAACCTAAATATATGCGTAAATATTAGCTTGCTAAATCTTTTCAAGACATTCTTTGATGATGAAGCCTTTTTTATTTTTTTTTTATCTATTGCTTAAAAAAAATAATATGGTAATGGTTATAGATAAATTTCAAAATATTGCTAAATTTTTGGGCGGAAAACATTCAAACAAAACATTCGCCAGCTTGACCTTTCATTTAACTATAGATTTGGAATGAGATCAAATAGATAGTTGGTAAAAACAATGGCTTAACAAAACAACTTTTGAATAATAGTAGACAAGTAAATAATGAGACAATAGCAGCTAGTCTTTCTGAATGTAATCCCTAATTCAATTTCAATTTTGCTAAATCCAGCAAAGTTTAATTCTTATTTAAAAACTTTTAGAAATAGCTACATGATTTAATAAAATCAAAAAATTTATAATATAATAGGAGGTAAACGGCCCTAAATTTATAAAGATTTTAATATAGTAAAATGATATTAACTTATTATTCTCACTTTAGGGTAGAAACATTAAAAAAGTAACTTGGTTTATTGAGCTGTCACCGGTAAGTAAGCAGGTTTATTTAAAGCATCTTCAATTTATTTGAATTAACATCAGTTTATTTGCAACAACTTTCGTTAATTTGAAAGAACTTCAGTACATAAACTCCGAAAAAGCGAGAAAAATCCGACGAGACGGAGTTTCGTCGGATTTTTTTGTTGGAGAGAATGGATCCTCTGCACAGTGGGAAACCACATGGCCGAAAATCAAAAAAATGACTTAGTTCAATCATTATGTCTGATAGTGGGTTTAATTACTTATACCCTCACTGAGAATTTTCCAATTAATGAAATTCTAAATGTGACAGGCTCAATGGTAGCCCAGTCAACGCATAAGATCAATATGATATTAATATGATATCAAAATTTCTCATGCTGCGATATCAAATAATTATCTCAATATGATATCATATAGATGTCATAACCATAGATAAATAAATTCAAGTATGGTTGTGATATCATCATGAGATCAAATTGAGATTACGACTTGATATCAAACCATGAGAAACTTTTGATATCTAAATTACATCACATTGATATCAACTTTTGACAAAACACCACATATCATGTGGTGATTTGTCAAAGACCACATATCATATTTACCACAAACTCGAGTTTGTGGTCAACATGATATGAACATATATGTATATAATGAACATGATATGAACATATATGTATATATATATATATATATATATATATATATATATATATATATATTATATATATATATATATATATATATATATATATATATATATATATATATATATATATATATATATATATATATATATATATATATATATATATATATATATATATATATATATATATATATATATATATATATATATATATATATATATATATATATATATATATATATATATATATATGAAGGTGATGTAATATTTTATATATACAGTGGTGTTGTAAGATTTGAATAAAAAAGTTGAGTATAAAAAAGACAATTTGTTTCTCATGAGAATATCAAAATATGTATCAACTTTTAAGGTCAAGGTGACATCAATGTGTGATTTCATTTTGATATAATCATGATATCATGAACTTCTCAAAATATGACATCTCATTCTGAGTACAGGATGATATCAACTTTTGATATCATAAGGTTCTTATATTATGATATCAAATTTGAACTCAAATTGATATAACTGTGTGATTTCATTTTGATATCATATTGATCTCATAAACGTATCATGCTATGATATCATAGATCTCACAGTATGAGATCAATATGATATAATTATGATATCAAATGGCTGACTGGAAGTGGCTTCTTGAAATTAGGCTTTTAATAAATTTTTAATTTGTTTAAAAATTGTTCCAATTTGTACCTTTTCCACATTTTGATATTTTTTAGTGTATAGTGTCTACTAATTACCCTGAGAAGTGTAGCTGCGACCATCCGCGATCTTGAGCACTATATAATTTTGAAAAATTGATATTTTTTTAAACAAATAAAAAACTTCTTTGAATAATTTTTTTTTTATTCATTCATTACAAAAAGTAAAAAAAAAACTACTTTAAGGCATGAAAGACTAAAGTAAATTTGTTTTCGTGTTGTTAATGAAAGGAAAAAAATTATTTTTTATTTTAATTTCATGAGTTTATGGTTTTTAAATACATAATTAATTTAAGAAAAAATAATTCTCAAGTGGATTTTTAATGTCCCACTAATCGACCAAAAACCACATGACCACGTTAAAAAATTTCTTTTTACTTTGTAAGTTTATTGTTGTGAACTAAGATAATGGGCAAAATCAATTTAATGTTTATGAAATGTTATATTATGTTTTCCGGTTTCGAAAATACTTTTGAAAATGTAAATAATAGGTTTAAATACATTGTTGCTAGGATTAATTAGGTTTAAATACATTGTTGCTAGGATTCAAGTGAGTTTAAATACATTGTTGCTAGGATTCAAGTGAGTTTAAATACATTGTTGCTAGGATTCAAGTGAGGGAAGATAAAACAAATTAAGAAAGAAATTAAAACTAACTCTTGCAAAGTATGTTGCACTATGGCATGCATCAAATCAAATAAAATAAATTCTTGATAGTATGATTCAAGTTTGGCTTAAATAAGTTTTTAAAACAATTAATTTAGTTGAATCACTAGGTAATCAAGAGAGTTTAATAAATCAATCAGTAAAAGAGGTCGACTAATAAAAAGGCCTGATGAATCAAGGTCTCGAACCAAAAGATGATTAATAGCAAATATATCATTTGATTCAAAAACGGAATCCGTCAAAATATTGTTAGTGGCACAAAGAACAGCATTTAATAAACGTGACTATAGTTAAGTCATATTACTTAGTGTCGTTACAATGAAAGCGTTACAAACCGTTATTGCTTTACTCTCAGCTAACCACATTACAAGAGAAAATGACGTCTGAAGAAGCTTTTGCATATTTTTTTGGATAACAAACTTTCAAGAAGTGTTCATGAAAACACCTATAAAGAAACACCATGCAGATTTCTATCTTATTGAGTAACTTCCAAATTAAAAAACGAGTGCTCACCTTTAAAAACATCCATTGAAGTTACTGAAACTACAGGAAAAGAAATCAATGGGTTGTAAACTTAATATGACCATAACTTTCAGAAAATTAAAGATTGTTTAATGAAAGTTAAAACCTGTCAACGAATTAAAGTTTAGTATAACATAGCAGCAAAAATCTTTTTTTGAACGCATTGCCCTCATATTTGGGTGGGGAAAAGGCTTAATTTTTGGGGTATTTTCGATCTCGGGTTTCAATCACCGAAATTTTTTTTACAAACCATTTATACTTTGACTTAAGTATGAACATAACAAGTTTGGAGCATTGGAAAATTATCCATTATTTAAACAATGTCTAAAACTATCACATATAAAAAATCCAATTGGTGCTTAAGTTCCCCCCCCCCCTCCCTTGCTGCGCTTATAAGCAAGTTAAACACGAAAATATTATATCAAGACTTTATTTTACTCAAATAAGGCTTAATATCCACATAAATACAACAATTATATTTTTTGCCACCTATTTCAATGGAATGTTCCGACTCAAAAACCTGTAAAAAAAAATCCAAAAAATCAAGTTTTAGCGCTTATTTATTTTTTATATAAGTTTAGTTATAAGGATCTATTTATCATGTGATAGCGGGAATTTACAAATATTTTCCAAAGCCATTCGTGATATCCTTTGGTCTTTTAAAGCTGTAATCTTCTTTTTTCTTCCAGTTCAGCGTCTACTTTTGAGACTCCCGAAATATTATTGTCGTTTTAAAGTTAGTTGTACTGCACCTCGGTAACATTTCAATATTTTGCTCACTTTCTCCTTACGAATGCAAAAAAATGATCTGCCCTCGTATTACTTCACTAAATTCACATCATTTTCTTATTTTCTCAATGAAAAATATTATTCAATAAAACATTCACAAGGAAATACTACTATTTGAACTATATATATAAATAGTATATATATATATATATATATATATATATATATATATATATATATATATATATATATATATATATATATATATATACTATTATATATATATATATATATATATATATATATATATATATATATATATATATATATATATATATATATATATATATATATATATATATATATATATATATATATATATATATATATATATATATACAAAGATGCGTGGATTAAAGAAAAAGGTGGACTCTCTGATGTTACAATGGGCGCTTACAATGGCGCTGAAGTATGTGAGTTAGTCGGAATTTTTCTTTTGTTCCAACTTTCGCAGTATTATAAAAGAAATGATTTTCGTCTTTATAGTGATGACGGGCTAGCAATATTTAAAAACAAAAATGGCCAGCAAAATGGGGAAAATCAAAAAACGATAACGATCTTCTTATTTCCATCCAATGCAATATAAAAATAGTTAACTATCTTGACGTGAGATTTGATCTCAATAACAATTCTTTTCAACCATACAGTAAATGCGACAATGAGCTGAATTATGTTCACTCTGATTCAAACCAACCACCTTCAAACCAACTACCTTCAAACCAACCACCTTCAAACCAACCACCTAGTATTATCAAAAGACTCCTTCGTACTGTTGAACTGCGATTATCTACCACGTCAGAAATTCAATCAAAGTTAGTTATAGCTGTATGCAAAACGTAAAATCTATAATTAGTTCATATAGCCACAACATTTTATACAGTAATACAAATTTAAATGCAAGAACTTGCCCATTCAATAATCAATGTTTATTAAGTTTGATG